ACTAGTGGCAGAGCACTGGCCTTTCACTAGTGGCAGAGCACTGGCCTGTGTTGTGTGCTGTTGAGGATGGTGAGTTTATGTAAACAAAGAACCTGTCCATCTGAGAGTTCCTGAAGCCACAGTAGCCCTATTCAGACACCTATCACTCCTTAGGTCAGTGGAATAACTAGATCCGTGTCAAAAAGTGTAGATTAGTGTCTTGTAGTCATAGCTATAAAACAGGTGCCCACCATAAGCTTGCAAACAAAGGGCTTAAATGGAGTGCAGCCCAGTACTCAAGGTGTTTCCAAGGTGACCTGTTATATACTCCACAGGTGTAAATTATACAGGTAAACACTTGTTCCATGGATAGGCATGTAGTCAGTGAACATGCATGTTCTAAATGTCTCAACTGACTCTACAAAGGCCAGTAAATCTGCTTGGCTGCAGTTGAAGACATGCAGTCTAGTGGCTACTTCTATGTCCATGCTTTTTTCTCCTTTGAATTCTTGCTACAAACCTGAGGGGGAGTTCAGATCATCCATGTGTGAGGAGGAAAGACAGGCTAGGAACTAGTTCATATGTACCTAGTCTGTGAGAAGCATAAACTTGCTGTGTCCGTGGGTTTTCCACCTCATCAGAATGTCCATCCAGAATGAACAGAGTATAGAGTTCAGAGCTTTACTACAGCCTGGGAATGCCAGTAACACACTAGCGGTCTCTCCAGGGCCCCTGTGGTCCAGTGGTCTACAGATCAGGGCTTTGTAAAACTTTGTCCGTTTGTCACTCCTTTCATCCAAGGAATTTTCATCACCTCCGTATGTAGATAGATAAAATATATAAATCAAACATTTCCTGATAATCAGAAAGATTTATTTTAAAACAATTATATATATATATAACTTTACCATTTATTGAACGAAAAGATCAAATTTGCCTACTAATTAGATGGATGTGCTTATTTTTACAGAAAGATTTAAATGCTGGCTGATATATTTGCTACTGCCGGAGGTCAAGCATTGTGCTGTTAGTCACAAAGCTATTAAGTGGTGGAAACTGAGTGGGGCTTAATCTACTGTCTTCCCACAGTCTCTGCCATTTCCACTCAGCACTTGTAGACTTGAGTGGTTTTAGTGCTCGGCAGCGTTGACCAAGCCTTTGCAGGATACGGCACGCTGCACTTGATGCTCTGAGTTAGTACCGGAAGATACAGAATTCTACAGTTCTTTTCCCTGTATAATTTAATGGTAGAGTTATTATAATAGCCTGAGAAAAAGAGCCAGCATTGACTTATTTAACTGTATAGGTACAAGGAAAGCAGTGTTGCTACGGTGAAATAAATGTCAGCACTCACAGCGAGCAACCGGAAGCATTGTCTGGTTCTATCTAACAGCTTCTGAGAAACCCTTTAGTGTCTGTTCCCGTTGGTGTCTTCTGATCCTTTGCCTCCCTAGCTAATGTTTAACTGCTTTCAAGCCTCTAGTTGTTCTTAGTGATTTTTTTTAAATTTTGTTTTTGATGTGCATGAGTGTTTGTGTACATATGTGTATGTGCAGCACAAGCATGCCTGGTGCCCAAGGATGCCAGATGAGGGTGTTTGGATCCCCTAGAACTGGAGTTACAGACAGTTTTGAGCTGCCATGTCGGTGTTTGGAACCAAACCAGGTCCTCTGGGAGAGCACTGGGTACTATTAAGCACTGAGCAGTCTTTCCAACCAGTCTCTATCAGTTTGAGGAAGAAATAGTGATGGTTGTCCTTGGCTTTCTAGTCTAGCTACCGAGGGGCTTGCCATCCCATCTTCCTTCACTTCTCATCGGTCCTAGCCCGGGGGCTGTGCCCTCTGCTCTGGTTCTTCCTGCTCCTTTTCTCTGTGACTCACTGCCTCCTCTGTCGCTGGCGCCCACCCCATAGTTCCTTTGTCTCTCTAGTCCTCACAACATGTCCTATGTTAAGGTTGACATCCGAGTCTCCATCTTTAGCCAACATTTGTCACCTAACTTTATAATGTTTCTCAGAGTATCATCAAGTACCCAACATTGTCCACGGAAGAAGTGCAGTTTATTGCTCCTTGACTAGTTAAAGGTACTAGTTAATGGTCAGCACCGGAAACCCAAGGCTTAGCCTTACGTCCCTTCTGCCAGCCCCTGTAATTCCCTAAAACCTTGCTCACTAAAGCCGTCTTGCTCCTCCCTCGCTCAGTGAGTGTGTCCTGGGATATTAGCTCAGGCCTTCATCATCATGCCAGCCTGTGTATCTACAGAATCTTCCTAGCTACTCTGCTCTTGGCCTGGGTTCCGTCATATCTGTGATATATATACTCAAGCACCAAGAGGAGTTTACAAAAAACAAACAACTTATGTTTCCCTCCTCCAAAGCCAGCTCTTTCCTACTCTGCTCAGCTATGAATGGAGTACGCAGCGGTTCCTGCCTGTAGCTGCTTTGCCAGCCCCAGGTTTCTCAGAGTCATTCATAGTCACTGTGCACTCTCGCTGCTGTGCCTTGGTCAGCCTTTCCGTCTTCTCATTCACCATCCTCCTTTTCATTGATTCATTTAAAGAGTATTGTGGTAGCTGGTGGTTGGAGATGAATTGTCGTTGCCTGTATCCTGGCTGATACACAGCACAGCATAGGCCAGGCTCTGAGGGTAGTGGGTTTTCAAACTGTCAGAAGTCAGTGTGTTCAGTATTCTCTCCTTTAATATGTAGATGGATGCGGAGAAAATGCTAGAGTTCCTAAGTGCTTAGGCCCTTAGGTAAGATTAAATAGAGAAAACTTCACCCAAAGTCAGCACCAGAAGAAATAGCACTCTTTATTAGGTAGGCTTAGGTCCAGTAAGTGACCAGGAAATGGGGCATAGTGACTTATGTTAAAGTAGATTATTATCTGTCCCTGGAATCCCAAAGGTATCCTTCAGTACGAGCTCAGGTCAGGGGAGTGTTTGGGGGCCTGGTTCCCTTTTGCTTATACTTCCTTTCATCAGACTTATTTCCTGGACCCATAATCCTGTAAGGCATCTCTATGCATTGAAAGAACGGAAGGAGGGCAGGAAGTAGTCAGATAGAAGGTGCTGTCTGTCTTAAAGATTTCCAGAAACTACCACGTATTTCTATCCTGTCAGCCACAGCTTAGTCATAATTTGTAAAGACAAGTGTACATATCCGTGTACGTGTGCATACTCACAACACACACACACACACATACATACACACACACAGAGGGGGGGAGGGAGAGAAAGAGAGAGAGAGAGAGAGAGAGAGAGAGAGAGATTGAGATTCTGTTACTGTGGAGAAAGAATAAAATTTAAAAGACATTATTAGAAGATTCACATGAACTATTCAAATTTAGTCTGATATTTAATCTGCACTGTCTTGTTCAGCCTTTTTCAAATTCCTACATGTATCTGATAAACCAATCGAAGATGTTCTTGTTACCCTCCTCTAAATGCTGGACTACTTTTTAGTGATACAGCACACACCGTGCTGTGTGATAACTGCTTCCTCTGGATTCTCAGCACAGTGGAAGTTCACCTGACGAAGAATGTTACCCACTCCTCCAGAGCCCGGCATCTGCATCCTTCCTTGTAAACAAGAAATAGTTCTTAAAGGAATAAGTAGATAATTTTGATGATTTCTTGGTTTCTTACAGACTTTTCAGAAAAGAAGATGGACCAGCCTAGTGGAAGAAGTTTCATGCAAGTATTGTGTGAAAAATACAGTCCTGAAAACTTCCCTTACCGCCGCGGCCCTGGGATGGGGGTCCACGTCCCAGCCACTCCTCAGGGCTCTCCTATGAAAGGTAAGGAAGGCAGAACAAAGAGGTGGTGGGCAGTTCTCTAGGCTGGATCACAGCATCACCTTGTTTGTGAATGAGTGCCTTCATTTTGAATCCTGAGTCAGATGGTCATCAGTGCATGCTATGATTCCAGTGTATTCTTAAAGAGGCTTGGAGAACTGATTCTTCCAGATTGGCCGGAGGCATCTTAGTTTGTCCTTTCTAGGCAAGACTAATGTGTAGGGGATAATACTGCAGATGCATACCTTTTCAAGCCTCTGGGAGGGTACAGAATAGTACAGGCTGGCCTGTGCCCTTGAGGACCTCTGTGGGTTCTTGGATTAGATTACAGGACATTCACGTTTCTGAAGCTATAACACAAGGTAGCTTATGTTGAGCCAAATGAGAACTCAGTGACTGAGAATGAAATTTAGAAGATATTACTATCAGGAAAGGTTTCAAAGGTTAACTAGTCCTTGGAGAATGTAGAGTGTGGGTAGGAGGAGACAAAGGCATTCTAGGGGAGGGAAGTGTGCAGGGTGGGTTGTCCTAGCTGTTGTATCTCAGCTGACCATAACAAATGTTAGCAGTAGTTCTCTGTAATTACAGGTGGTTCCTAGGGAATTGCTGTCTTATTCTAGCACAGAGTCCGCTGACAGTCATTTCTCAGTAGAACTGTCTTCCACTCTGTAGAAATAGTTGTCTCAGTTGGCAGTTTGTCGCCCAGGCTATGTCCTACATCTGAGGAATGTGATACTAAAGAGTACTTAGTAGAAAAATCATATAATTCGAGGTCTCAAGTTAGAAATCATGACCTTCAGGTGGCCTTGTTTTTTTCCAAGTGGGAGAAAGTGGTTGAGTTGTCACATTTGTCCCTTTCATAAGATAGAGCGGGGATATGACACACACACGTTAGAGCAGGCATGGTCAGACTTGTTCTTCTGCTGACCTGATTTTTGCATATTTCAGACTCTGAAGCCTTTTCTCCAGTTAGGAATTTATTTTTAAAGAAGGAAATACTTTCATAAGGGAAATCTGCTAATACATGAGTGTACAGTGGGAATCATTGAGAGGCAAGAATGAAAGAGATAGCGTTTGATTGTCTTCCCATAAGGGAGGAAGATGGTTGGAACACACCATCTTGACAGAGGGGCCTCCGCACATAATTCATTAGTGTTTGAGCTGATATTTAAAAGGAGCATTAGAGAGAAAAGAGAGCCGGGCGGTGGTGGCGCACGCCTTTAATCCCAGCACTTGGGAGGCAGAGGCAGGCAGATTTCTGAGTTCGAGGCCAGCCTGGTCTACAGAGTGAGTTCCAGGACAGCCAGGGCTACACAGAGAAACCCTGTCTCGAAAAACCAAAAAAAAAAAAAAAAAAAAGAGAGAGAGAGAGAGAGAGAGAGAGAGAGAGAGAGAGAAAAGAGTGGGGCAGACCGCTTTAGAAATACAGAATTGAGGTCAGTCGGTGCTGGTGTAAGACACAAGTTCCTGGGATTGGCATGGGCAAGATGACAGTGAGGTGTCGCTGGTGACTGGAGATAGGCAGCTGGGAGCAGAGCCGAGGAGACCGTGGAGGGAGGCAGCACCTCTGAGCTCCTCCTGGCCCAGATTGAACTTTCTCTAAAGAGAAAGGATTCAAGGCCCCAGGTCCCTCTTGGAATACAGGAGATAGTTTTGTTTCCTTGTGATTCCTGGGGGCTAACATCCACAGGCAAGAGCTAGGCTGAGTGGAGCAAGTGTTTTGTGTTTCCAATGATTCAGATCGCCTCAACCTCCCGAGTGTGCTCGTGTTGAACAGCTGCGGGATTACCTGTGCAGGAGACGAAAGAGAAATTGCAGCCTTCTGCGCTCACGTGTCAGAACTCGATCTTTCTGACAACAAGCTCCAAGACTGGCATGAGGTAAAGTCTGCATCACCGCATCTGGGGAAAGGCGTTGCTAACCATTATATTCTTGCTTACGTTCCTTTATATCCTGCTCTGGTCCTTCCTTGAGACTCTGGCCATCTCTATGTGTCAAGGTCAAGAGCAAGTTGCCAACTACTTCTGGTAAATTTTCGGTTGGTGCTTACTGCTGTGATCCTGCTTTTATTGCTGTGAGCAGCATGGAGACGTTTTATTCCAGGCATCGAAAGGTTAATGCGTCTTCCGAAGCTTCGATTGCTGACAGCGGTTTCTCTGTTTCCCAGTCCCCTGTCCTGTGCTCACGCTTCTCTCTCTCTGCAGACTGACGTAGAAGGGCTTCTGCTGAAGCCGAGACTGTGGTCCTTTTCTTGTTACTGAAATCTGTAACAAATCCTCAGGACTTCCCTTAGTCAGTGTCGAGTAGTTTGACCTCAGGGTAACTCCGCTACACAGCCACGATGTCACAGTATTCCTTCTTGTCATTATTACCATTACCTACCTGATAGAAACTACCTCAAAGTATAAACCAGCCTGCCCCCGTTCATTCTCTTGCCTTAGATTACACTCATTGTCTCTGCTCTGGCTCTTTGGAGAAGTTTGCGTAGTGGGTTTGTCACCCCTGTGGTATCCGGCCACCTCCATCATTGCACCGCAGACTCGACAGTAAAGCAGTCACACTGGACTCTGCTGCATGGCACCCTTCCCTCGATTTTCCTTGTTTAGCAACCAAGGCCTGAATCCTGAGGAAGGGCCCTCACCACATAGCTCTGCTGTTTCTAGAACTGTCGTTAGCCCCGCACTACCATTCACAGCACATCGTGAGCACGAGGCACGCTTCCTGAGCACCTAGCATGGCAGCTTCCTCACTTTCGTCATGCCAATTCCTCCGTTCTCTTTCCTGTCATGTGCTGGCCTCTGCCTGGGTTGCTGTCCGTGCATCAGATTCCCCTGGCCTTCAGCTCAGACAGGAAGATTCACCCAGGTCACCTGGGCCCACGGCTGCAGAGGGATTTATCCCAGTGTGGTATGGTCACTTGCTGACTCCTAGAGCTGTGAGCTTGGTTCTGATGGTGGTTTCTGTCTTGTTACAGACACACTAGAGTCTGACTAGAGTCAGATGTCTGTTGCCTGTGTTAAGGGATGACTGACTGTCTCTATGGACTGGTGAAGCCCACTTGCTGCAACTCTTCCTGTGACCTCCCAGAATTCACCTGGTCCTCTAGCGCTCCCCCTCACTCATCAGTATATACTGGTCATTAGCCATTGAAATGCTTTGTAGCTACCAAGTGTTACACAAATCCTAAAACAGCTTTCTTATTTAAGAAAAAATGATGAATACTATTTGTTCACCTTTTCTTATGTCTGTTCCACTGTCCTGTTTAATCTGGTGTGTGTGTGTGTGTGTGTGTGTGTGTGTGTGTCTTAGTGATAGTTCCTGTTTTGATAGGATTTTTATCTAAATTCTTGAATGTTCTCTCACCTGATTTATAAGCGAAGTGCAGATTCCTGGGGCTGCTCAAGAGGTAGCTTTTATGCATACATTATCTGTTTGCCTGTGTAAACTGCATATCTCACTGCTCACAAATCATACACTGTATTTTCTTGGCCCTCTGAGACACGGGTCACCAGGCAGGATCTACCTATGCTGCCCAGGTGCAGAAAAAGCCAGTCACCTTGCTCACCCTCAGACTCATGACTCTCCTGGATCCTGCTGCTGAGACCCTGACTCCCCAGAGTTGGGTAGACTTATCTTCTGCCCTGCCACTGGGAGCGGAGCGGAGAGGTGTACGGACCACACCCTCCCCTGATTCTGTTTCCTGCTGGATCCTCTAAATTTGTTGTTTGGGAGATTTAAAATTGCACTCAGGCTGTGTTTTTGCCTCTGCTTTGAATATGTACCCGAGCTCCTGCTGACTGGTTAGCAGTTTGATAATGGTGCATTTGCACTTCTGAAGGGAGCTGTCTGTAGGATGGACTGGCACACAGAGCTTAAGCTAGGACCTGGGGTGTTTCTCTACGTTAGCGAAGGTCTGTGTTATTTCCAGGACCACACCGCATACAGCCAGGGACTGCACATTTCCTTTGCGATGTCTGCACTTCTTTAGAGCATCCTCCCATGCCCTTGGTAGCCTGTTGCTGCTGTTGCTTTCAGGTTTCTCTTCCAGTTTATTCTGGTTTTCACCATTCCTTGTAATCCTCCTTGTTCTTAACTGTAGTTGATCCCAGTCTTTTAGAGTACATATCAGAGCGGAAAGAGACTAGAGAAGAACCAACAGCAAAAGAGACTGATTTTTTTTATTCCCTCGATTAAACTCTTCAGCAGGCTACAAGTGCTCCGTAGGTCACTGGCTTTAAGACATCACATTTCAGCTCCCTTACAACCCACGTGTCTGATTATGAAAAAGATTATTTGTCCCTAGACATTAGCCCATTTGAATCCCGCCTGTCTTAGCATAGCAGTGTGAAGCGAAGTAACATAGTATGGTCTTTGAGTTTTCTGAGTGGTCGCTAACATTACACTAATGAGCAGTCTCTTTTGTTTTATGCTCTTAGCTGCTATATATCTCAAGGCTAAAGCACATATGGGCGAGAAATGTAATACTTTGGAAGGAGGGAAAAGTGTGTCTGTCTACCTTTCTTAATTGGGCACCTGTATATAAAGCAATTGTGGTTTTTAGCTATTGACTTGAATTTTTGGCTGGGTAGAATTTTGTCCAACCTTTTCCAATGTATCTCTCCACCACTCTTTTTCTTATCGAAGCCATTTTATAAAAGAAATTGAATAAAGTATTTGAGAGGAGGAAGGAGTTAGCCAGTCAAGTGAGACAGAGAAAAGCTTGGGCATAAATTACAGATTTTATCATCAATCTCTTTTCCATTTTCCTTACACCTTTAGTTTCTTCCTTTATAGATGCCAGGGTTGGGGCCTGGGAAACCCTGGAGCTACAGGGGCCTTGGAGCTGCTGCGAGTTGTTCATCTTTGCACATGACCAACCTCAGTTCATTCCAGCCAGGGGACTTTTTTATTTTTTTATAATTTTTAATTTAAAGACACCAAGTGAAGAGCTGTCTTAGAAACTCAATGGAGTGTGTCACCTTTGCTGTTGGGAAATTTTTCCATTATAAGTCAAAAAAAAAATTGTTTTCAAGACAGAGTTTCTTTGTGTAGCCCTGTCTGTCCTGGAACTCACTCTGTTGGCCAGGCTGGCCTCGAACTCACAGAGATCCGCCTGCCTCCGCCTCCTGAATGCTGGGGTTAAAGGCCACACCCAGCTTCATAAGTAAATTTGTATCAGTCTAATCATCATGGTATTTCCTGACTCTTATTCTCAGTGTGAGGTTACACAGTTGATCTTTGTACATTAAAAGAAAATACGTATTTCTAACACATAACTTTTCCTACCTGATTTTGTCCAGTTAGTGTTTGGGGACATATACAGTGTCCTCACTGGACACTTGGCCATTGGCCGATGTAGATGGTAAAAGGGCATCACATAGCCCTTAGCTTGGAAGAGCCCAGAATTTGTTTTCCAACCTTTTAAGTTACTCATCTTTTATTATAGGAATATAGAGGGATGAGCGAGCAGATTTTGGAGAAGGATTTGAGTTGTACTTTTGTTTGAAGTTATTAAGCAGAATTTCATACCCCTCATCCTCCTCAAAAGAGGTCATTATCCTCCATGTGAAAGTCCTTCTCCTTGATATTCAGGTCATTGTTGACCCCTTCAGAGCTGTTAAGCGATGAGTAGTCACCGCCTAGATTTCAGATTCTAGCCACATACTGCGTTATGGTTTGGTAGCATTCAGCCGCAGAGTGACTACAAGAGACTGTTCTCAGCCTGTCCAGATCCCTCATGCTTTAGCCAGCAGCTCAGTGCATCTTCCTGTTCATCAGTGCATCTTCCTTTTCGGTGGCTTACTTCTTCATTTGTGTAACATTTAGTGTACAGAATGGATGAGCAGTGAATGTGAGGGCCCTCCCCTCTGACAGACTTCTGAGAGCCATCCTGGAGTTAATCTTCTCATGGAACTGAGCAGAAGCTGTGGCCCGACGATGCTGCAGCTCACCTCGGTCTGTGGTCCTCTCTGCACCTCTCCACATCTCCTCCAGAGCTCTGAAAACAAACTGACACTCAGGTCTTATCCCTGAGTGACGTCATGTGCACCTCATTTAACCCTCCACGCGGTCCTGGACCATCCGGGTACTCTCTCCACTTCACCAGTGAGGAAACAGACTTGGAAAAGTTAAGTGATGTGTCTGACACTAGTCAGCCAACAGTGTTGGAAACTGATTAGATCCAAGCCTTTCAACACTCTGAAACCAATTCTAACTGCTCCTTTCTGAGTCCCATGCCTCCTTAATACATTTGCAGGTATTGGCCATCGCTCCATGCTTCCTTCACTTGGTCCTTACTGACCGTGCCAGCATCTTTGCAGTGGCTGTTCATTTTCTCCAGGTTATACTTATGATATACTGTGGGACAATGTCAGATGATTTAACATCTCTGAGCCTCAGTCGTTTCACTTGTCATAATAAAGAGACCCATCTGGCAGATGAAGAGTTAATGAGATAAGCTGTGTCAGGGCAGCTAGAACTGCAGAGTAGTCAGTCAAACAAGCCCCACTTGTTTCCATAGAAGTTGCTGAGTAAGCCATAGATTGATGACCATCCTTCACTACCATCCATCTGTTCTTCCTATCTGTTGTCATGTATCTAGCTATTGATCTATATTGGATGTTTTGGGATTTTGAGTAAATACCTCATATAGTTTGATTTGTCTTGGAAACAAACTGAAGCACCCCTTAGTGGTGATGTCCCTCCAGTCAGGTTTGAACACACAGATCTTTACTCAGACTTAATGTGGTGTTGAGAATGGGAGGGAGAACACAGTCAAATTCGTGGCCTAATCTTAGCTCTTTAAAAATGTATAGCCTGCAATGCCATCTAAACGATCCTTTTATCCTTCCTCTGCAAGGCACACCATGCCGGCCAGCATCAGGGCCTGGCTAATGGTCACATAGGGACTTGCTCTGTGCCGCTGCCTCTCAGCTATGCTACTCCTTCTTGGAAACAGACTAAATTATTTGCCTCAATTTGTCGAAGTTCCTTCTGCTGCTCTGTAGGTGCCTTAGCTAAATGGTACTCTCTGAGGTAAAAGGCCCTTCACCTGGACCCACCCACTCAGGCCCTCGGAAACGGGATTGTTTTTTCAAAGCTCCTATTGCTGCCCTGTTAAAGCCTCTCTCTTTTCTCCACAGGTCAGTAAGATTGTGTCCAATGTTCCTCAGCTGGAGTTTCTCAACCTGAGTTCCAATCCTCTGAGTCTGTCAGTTTTAGAAAGAACATGTGCTGGGTCCTTCTCTGGGGTTCGCAAACTTGTCCTCAACAACAGCAAAGCGTCATGGGAAACAGTGCACACGATACTGCAGGAGTTGCCAGAGTAAGCCCATCGAGCATGGGGGCGGGGCATAGGCGCGTGTCGCCATCCATGTCTCTGCCTAGAATTTCTGCTGATGTTTTATCTCAGAAACCCTAGAGCTGTAGAGAATGAGAAGCTTCAGAAAAGTGAAATCACTGGGGCAAGGGGATGGGATGACCTGCTCACCTTTCCAGGGGTGTAGTTGGGCGACACATGATGGCGGGCAACACGAGATGGCGTCCTTCCTGAGAAAGTACCCTGAGAAACGCTTGCCATCCAGAGCACCTCAGCCTTTCTCCATTTTAATCTTCTGATTACCCGACTTAAGAATTGTGCTTAAGCCCTTTCCTCTGGAAGGAAAAAAAGTTCTAGGGTTTCTAAACTATGGTGATGCTGAGATGCTTAATTCAATAATTTTAGAAAGAAATTATACTTTGGGTTGTCAATTCAGAAATGTCCTGTTCTGTTTGTGTCTGTTTATGCATATATCCATGCAGAGGAAACCTCTGACAGTAAGAAATGAAGCTGTAGATTTTTGATTGCTTAAATATAAAAAGCATCCAAGACCCCCAGGATCTCCCCTCACCCCACTTGCTGAACCGAGTTCCTCACTGTCAGTTTAATGAGCTTTCTTCACTGGGTAGGGCTTCTAGCATGGCATCAAATTGATTGTTTGAGACAGGGCCTCATGAAGCCCAGGCTGGCCTCAAACTCACTCTGCGCTGAGGCTGGCCTTAAATAGCTCAGTCTCCTTGTGTCACCTCTCAGGTGTTAGAATGGCTTTGGTGTACCACTTGATGTGACAGTTGAATTAACTTTTAAGTTCAGACGTCACACGCTAACCGTGAGAACTTTGACAAGCCCTTAATCTCTTTGGGTCCAGTTTCTTTGTCTGTAAAGTGGACGGCATTATATTAATGTTCCTGGAACAAGGCCTGACATAGGGTAAGGATTTGGTAGTTACTGTTTGACTTTATAAACATTTGTCCATGTTGTTTCTAGAATTTTCTTTCATTGCCTCTACATTTTATTGAGTCTGTTTCTCCTCAAACGCTGCAGACTCTGGCACTGAGGTAAGCAAGGGAGTAACCAAGCAGCAGCTCCTGTTGGACTCTTGTTCACACTAGATCTACCTTCTCAGCGATGCACTGTTTCAGCTTCAGGCAAACAACGCTGTAATACAGGCCAGAGTCTCACATATAGTGCATATTTATTTATTTTTAGCTTTTAACTTAGGTTATCACTGCGTAGCCCAGGCTAGCCTCGAATTGATGCTCTTCCTGGCCCAGCCTCCTGGGTTTACTGGCACTTGGACCATCTAGTTATTAAATACATGGCAGTCTGTGTAAAGGTTAAACTCAACTGCTCTAAATACTTGGCTGTTTCCTTTTCTCTCTGCAGTTTGGAGGAGCTCTTCCTGTGCCTTAATGACTATGAAACAGTGTCTTGTCCCTCTGTTTGCTGTCATTCCCTAAAGCTCCTACACATAACAGACAATAACCTCCAAGACTGGACTGAAATCCGGAAGCTGGGTGTGATGTTTCCATCACTGGATACCCTGGTCCTGGCCAACAACCACTTGAACGCTATCGAGGAGCCTGCTGACTCCCTGGCTAGGTTGTTCCCTAATCTACGATCCATCAGCCTCCACAAGTCAGGTGAGACATAGGCTTGCCTCATTCTGTGTCAGACTGATCAAGCTCCCGCATGGGGTATGGTAAGAATGTGTTTCAGTCATAGCTGTGCAGGTGACGGGGTGGGGTTCCAGCAGGAACCTATGATCCACAGTCCTTCTCTTCATAAGTACTCTAATAAGTCCTCAGGAGCGTAGATTTACACTCATAATTTCTATTTCATACATTGAAAGGGTCATATTATAAAAGAGGTAAAGTGAAATTGATGACGTAGTTACTAAAAGGCAGAGGAGAAAGAATTACCGGCTAGAGCCTTTCAGCCTGGATGCAGGGTAAGGAAGGAAGCCTGGTCTGCTAGCCTTCAAAGTACTCGTCTACGTCTCTTGGATTATGACCTTATTGCCGTTGAATTCTGTGCAGTACAACCGAAGATCAGCTTTGGGTTCTCTGCAAACTTAGGTAGACGGTACAGATGGTGCCGGTGTATGTACAGCCCGCCCCCACCACCTGCCTCCCACACCCACTCTGTTTGTAGCAGTCCGTCAGGGAACTGGTTCTGGCGTACATCCAAGAGTACATTGTCTCCCTTAGGTCACGTGGGCTCTAAGAAATGAACAGATCAGTTGCTCCACGTGGTGTGCCCAGAGAAGCTCCGTGCTCGCCCATACCCTTGGTTTCATCCGCCTGTTTCTCCTTCTAGTGCCGACCACCCCTGATCTTCCCATTGTCTTCGCACTCCCACCTTTGCCCAGGGTCGTTTACTTGTAGTCACACCGCGTGGGGCTTCTTTAAATCAGCTCCTTTGACTTAGTACTTCACACTCAAGCCCCTCACACCTCTCCGTGGTCTTTTGAGCACTGAGCAGTAGTCCATTTTCTAGGTGTGCCATAGTTTCTCCAGCAGCTCCTGGAGGGTTTTTGTTTATTTTCAAGCTTGAACAGCTATGAATAAGGAGGTTTTAACTATCTGTGCTGATTTGCAAGTGGACATAAACTTTTGATCTGTTTAGCTAAACAATAAAAGCACAATACCCGAACCATACAGTTATGCTTAGTTTTGTAAGAAACCCCAAAGTCTCAAAGTACCTGCACCGTTTTCCATTTACTCCAGCTGTGAATGAGCTATGTTGCCCCTGTGCTTGTCAGCTTTGGGGTTGCAGTGAGGTATGCTTTGGCTTCTAATGGGTGTCTTAGAGTGACATCGGGAAAGAGTCTCTCTCTGCTTACTTGCCATCTGTTGTGTCTGTTGAGGGGATTTTACACTTTTAGTTATAGTAAGGTTGTTAGCTGGGTCATATGTAGTTGGGCCATTAGTTGTGTTGTGTTGTTGTAAGACACTATTCTTGGGAAGAAGAGAGCAAACACCCCAGATAAGGGACAGACAAAAGACCAAAGTACAGATACCATCAAAGTCCAACTTGATAAACCAATGCGTTTTATTGGGTGCCTGACTCAGACGTCAAGTGTTAGCTTGGATGATACAGTTGCTCATAGCCAGGGAGAGAAGTGGATTTTAGAATTAAGCGCCTTAACTTGTGTTCTCCCTACTTAAGATTCAGAGTTATTGTGCTCGTGGGTTGGGTTGACGTTGGCAGTGATTTTGGACCCATTTCCTGCCACTGGTGTTGAGGTAGCATGAAACATAAGCATTAGTTCTGATTCTCCTGCTCTTGTCCCAGTTCAGAATATGTTAGGGGACATTTTGGGTTGCCCCCATCACCTGTAACATCCACAGTCCACATGTCTGCATTGAAGTAAAAGAAGTCGGCCCAGTCACTTTTTAGAAAAGTCACAGCGTTTACCCTGTTTGCTGAAACCATGTCAACCCAATTAGAAGCCATTGCTGTAGAACGGGAAATGGGAGGTTATTGGAGTCCTCCTCCCTCTCTGTCCTTCACTACTGAGCTCACAAAGATGAGAGAGGCTCTGGAAAATGGATCTGTTGGTTGTTTTAGTTGCTTACATTTGAGAGAAGGTCTCTCCATCCTGTCCACGCTGCCCTTGGACTCCAGACCCTCTTGCTTTAGTTTCTGAGCAGATGAGCATCTGGGCCAGCAGCACCAGGCCTGTTTTCCAGGGAAGTTGTTTTGGAGTTTAACCACATCCCTCTGTCCTAGCCGGCATCTGACTGGCTGCTGCTACCTCAGCATTCCAGGAACTGTTGGTAGCTTCTTGTCTATAGTTATCTTCTTCTGTTCGTACTTTTCTGAATTTACTGAAACTATCTTTTTTTCAAATAGGGTTGCAGTCCTGGGAAGACATTGACAAACTAAATTCATTCCCTAAGCTCGAAGAAGTGAGATTGCTAGGAATCCCTCTTCTGCAGCCGTATACCACCGAGGAGCGCAGGAAATTGGTGGTGGCCAGGTATGTTCCCCTGCTCTCTTCTCTGTCCTCTGAAGGGACATTAAAGGGGCAGTGTACTCTGTGGGGGTGCTGTGAGTTGTTCCATCTTCTGTACAGGCAGTTTACTCTTTGAGGGTGCTGTGGGTTGTCTATCTCTTGAACAAGCAGTGTAGTCTTGGGGATTCCACGAGTTGTCTATCTCCTGAGCAGGCAGTGTATTCTTTGAGGGTGCTGTGAGTTGTCCCATCTCCTGAACAGGCAGTGTATTATTCTTTGACAATACTGTGGGTTGTCCATCTCCTGAGCAGGCTGTGTATTATTCTTTGACGATACTGTGGGTTGTCCATCTCCTGAGCAGGCTGTGCTTGGCACTAGTGGAGTTCAGATCTGTATAAAAAGCAATGTGCTGTCGTGAGCAAGACATAACCGTCCTGCCGAGACCACTGAGGGACAGTTCCTGTAAATGTATGTTTGCCCATTTCTTTTGAAATGTGTAGAACATTTGAAAATCCTTTTTGGGCGATGAGGTGAAAGACTTTGGTGGAGAGTCGTCTGATGTAGGCGTCCTGATTTCCTCTAACGTGTGGTCACAGAGAGTGCACCTGTACCCAGAAACAGAGCCAGCACCGCAGCATGTGTTTCCTACCTAAGAATGCTGGCTGTCGCTGTCTTCTCTGTGCTCCCTGCCTTCCCGTCTCTGACGCTCCTCTGTACACTGTGCAGCCTCCCACCAGTGTGTGCGCTTACAGGAACCATTAGCAGAGAAAAGATTTTGGCTAAAATGAGAATGGCACCAGGGCTTTGCTTTGCTCTCTGCGTGTACCCGACACAGAGCGCTGGAAGGACGGGCAGGAGGCTTTGAGGTGTCTGCAGGGGAGCTCTTCCTTAAGCACAGAAGTGATCCTCTGCCCAGCTAACGCCCAGCTAACGCGCAGGTCCATCCACACTGCTGTGCGGGCATCACCACAGTCAGAGGTTCAGCCTTCCTTCATGGTAAAGCCTGAGCCTCATGGTAGGTAGGCTGGGCTTTATATTCCTCTCACAATCCTTTTACAAGTATAAGATGGTTCATGATTATATATTCATCTTATATATACTTCATTTAGAACTTGTGCTGTTTAACATGGCAGCCACCAGCCTGGGTATCTGTGAGCACTTGAAGTAATACCTTGGCTAACTTGAAGTATAAAACAGACACTGGATCTCCCCTAATTTATATTAAGTAAGAGACTATGAAAGAGCTTATGACTTACTTTTTAAAATACCGATTACATGTGGACATGCTTATACTCTTGTTATATTGAATTTTATAAAATATATTGTTAAAATTTTACCTTTTTTTTTTCTTTTTTAAAATGGAGCTGAAGAGATGCCTCAGTGGTTAAAAGACCCGCTGCTCTTCCATGGCCCAGAGTTTAGTTCCCAGTATTCATGTAATGCCCATGTCAGGTGGTAAACAACCTTCTGTAACTCCAGTGTTAGGGACTCTGTTACCCACTCTGGGCCTCTGTGGACAACCCCACATGTGAGTGAATACACAGAGATAGACACAGCTACGTTAAAAGAGAGGAAACGTGTAAAGTGGGGCTGTTAGGTACGTTAGACCCATAGCTCGGCTTGCAGTACATCCACCTATGTTGAAAGTGTGTCCTAGTGTTGTGCTCTGAGAGATGAGGTTTAAGACAGAACATCTGTGTCACATCTGGAAATGCAGCACTCTTGGGTTCTTTTGATGACCTCCCTGCACATCAGTCTTCAGACAGGAGCAAGGTCCCTCCAGCTATGTCCTTCCAAAAAGAACACCCAATTGTTTTATTTCTGGCTCCTTAAAGTGTCGGTATTTTGCTTCTAACTTACAGATTGCCATCGGTTTCCAAACTTAATGGCAGTGTTGTCTCAGATGGTGAGCGGGAAGATTCCGAGAGGTTTTTCATCCGGTACTACGTGGATGTTCCACAGGAGGAAGTGCCATTCAGGTACAGTGCTCTCTGTCAGCTCAGCAGGCTCGGAAGAGCACCAGGCCAGTGATAAGCTATTGCCTTGGGACAACATCTGATTGTTAGGTCCTAGAGTGCTCTGTAAGAGGTTTTAAAGAGAAAAGGAAAATACAAGTGGACATCTTCCTTTCCATAGAAGCACGCTTCTCAGCCTGGGGGTCATGACCCTTTTGGGAGTCGAATAACGCTTTCACAGGTCTGCATATCAGATATCCTTAATATCAGATATTTACACCAAGATTCGTAACAGTAGCAAAATTGCAGTTATTAATGAAGTTCCAAAAAACTAATTTTATGGTTGGGGTCACCATGACATGAGCTGTATTAGTAGGTCACAGCATGAGGAAGGTTGAGAACCTCTCCAATAGTGCATTTCCTCCAAGTCGTCTGTGGGTGTGGCTGTGGGTGTGGCCTGGGGCCTGGCTAACACCCGTTTTTCCCACATTTTGCTTTGTGTTGACAAGTTCTCTTCTCGCAGCCCATTTTCATCTACCTTCTACTTGCTACTTTTTTCTGTTGAGTTTGCTTTTGGCCATGGCTGCTTCTGCAGAGCAGCGGGCTTGGCAACTGAGGAAAGGACTTGGAAAGTGGGCTCTAAGGGACGGGTCAGAGTGACCTCATAAGGAGAGGAGTGCTGGACTGAGTTAGTGCTGACTGAGCGTGAGGAGGACGTCCCGCCTAGTGTGTTTAATCCACAGGAAGAAGGGATGTCAGTAGGTGCTTGCCACTGGAAACATAAGAGAAGATACCCTTGAAAACAGGTTTCCCGGTGTTGGCAAGGAGAGTTACCTGCCGCAAATTTAAATGCCCACTTTATTTAAGAAAACCTGGAGTCGGGGTGGAGAGCTAGATTGGTGGTTATGAGCACTTGTTGTTCTTGCAGAGGACCCAGGTTTGTTTCCCAGCACCCAGATGGATCACAGCCACCCAGCTTCAGTTCTAGGGAATCCAGCTCCCTCTTCTAACTTCCTAGGGCACCAGGAATGCATGTGGAACACAGACATACATGTAAGCAGAACATTTACTCATACGTATAAAATAAATCTTTGAATAAAGACCGAAGGAAAGAAGGAAGGAAACAGCTGACCATGGAGAAGGCTCCGTGGGTGATAGTGTCTTCTGAGAAAGCATGAGGACACATGGAAGTCGGGTGCATAGGCCACCGTCTTAGCTGTGATGGGGGATGGGAGGGAAGACAGGAGACTCGGAAGCTCCTGGACCAGTGAGCTTGACATAAATTGTGGAGAAGCAGCAGTGAAACTGTCGTGGGTGAGGCCTGCCACCTGGGCTGTCCTCTGACCTCCACGTGCACACTCTGAAGTAGTGTGCAGTCATAGCACACACACACACACGTGCACACTCTGAAGTAGTGTGCAGTCATAGCACACATACATGTGCACACTCTGAAGTAGTGTGCATCCATAGAACACACATGCACACTCTGAAGTAGTGTGCAGTCATAGCACACATACTCGTGCAGAAAATGAAAGAGGATAGAAATTATGGCATGAATAGAGGACAGAATTTCTGGGCGTGGTAGCGCATAAGAATAATTCCAGGCCTCTAGAAGTGAAGGATCCTATGGGACCAGGAGTTCAATGATAGCATGATTATATAGGGAGCCCCTTTCTTGACGAGGAGGAGAGACAAAGAGGAGGAGGAAGAGGAGGAAGAAGAAGAAGAAGAGTGGAGAGAAAAGAAGAAGAGGAGGAAGTGGCAGTGGAGAAAGAGGAGACAACTAAGTTTGGTGGCTTACGTATGTAATCCTAGCATTAAAGGGTCCAGTAGGAAAATTGGATGTTCAAGGCTATCCTTAGCTACTTAGTGAGTTTGAGGTTAGCAAGGGCTGAGTGTCTTAAAATAAACAGACAAAACCCACTGTGAACAATTAAACAGAAAGCTCCCATGTGGCAAAAACAGCAACAGGAAATCTTCAAGGCTAACAGAAGCCCTCACTAGACTAGCAGAAGCCCTCACTAAACCAGGTTTCAGCAAGCAGGGTAGACATAAGGCAGGCTTAACCTTATATCTATAATACTTGTGATTCTGACGCATTCCTGCTGGACGGACATGTTTTCTCCTTAGAGGAATTAATGTTTACAGGCTAATATTTGTGGCTGAAAGTGATAGGCATTCTATAGGACTATAAGTTTCCATAAAGATATTTTTGTAGTTATTTAGAAATATTTAAAGTCCTAGGTATTTAAAAAATACTTTAAAGATTCTTAAGATTCTGTAAATGACCTTAGAACAGAAAAGTGGAGGGAGGGGATTTATTGTACCTTGTAATGCATACTGTACATAGGAAGTTTAAACAAAATGGGAAAAAAATTAAATCCGTGCCTGGCAAGGTGGCTTCTCAGGTAAAAGGGTCACAGTGCTCGCCTCCAAGCCTGATGATGAGAGTCTGCCCCACAAGATGGAAGGACACAACCCAGTCCTACAGAGTGTGACCCCCACATACATCACGGCATGAGCACCAATTAGTGCACCCACATACACACATGTGCCCAAACATACACACACATACACACTCACAGGCACACACGCAGGAACACACAAGCCATGCTAACACACAAAATAATTAGATCTTAAAGCTAAAGCACGATCCAGCATCTATTCTATTTGGCAAACTTACTAATACCTGTAGATATAGCTGTGTAGGTACAGAAATAGATAAAATTGTTTCTGTCCCTAATGGTATAATTATCTTGATGTGCATTTATTCCTCTGTAATAGTGTTCTAGAATGAAAGCCGTAGAATTCAACCTTGATTAGCTTTAATCAGCAGAGAAATGGATTATAAGGGAGAGGTACAGACAGCTCCCGTGTGATGTGTCACCGCTGGCACTGCTGCCTGTGGACACCACAGTGCAGCTGTGTCATCCGCCATTGACTTTTCTCATTTAAAAGTCTCTGTTAAGTTCCTATTGTGTAACAACTGTCATTGTGGAGGTAGCTGATGAGGACAACCAGAGGCCACGTCTTGTTTCTCTCCCATTCTAATCCAAGCTTTTATTGGCTCTCACTTGACCCCAGGCTGGCCTTGAACTTAGTTACCCCCTCTTGTCTCTGTCTCCTAAGTACGAAGACTACAGGAGAATGTGGCCACTATTCTTGGTTTAACTACTTTGGATCTTTCTAGTCGTTTTCTTGAACTGCTTTCTCAAACATGAAATGTCAAGTTTTGTTTATTGTTGCTGCTTTTACGGTGGATGGTGCTGAGGATGGAACCTCGGTTTGGTGGGGGAACATCTTCTCCCTGAGCTGCATCCTCGGTGTCCTGATCGGCACACTTTCCCCAAATAGAAACCATACAGTGAAGGTAACATTACTTACACTGTCCAGTGCCTGGGCGCTCCTTTCCCCAGTTGTAAGAGAGACAGCTGTTCTCTCATGTCCTTAGTGTGATTGTTGTGCACATGGAACTGAGTTTTTGGATAGTCCGGGTCTTAAGAGGTACTGTGTTTAGTGCTAAGTCTAGGCCTTTGGGTGGCATCCATATTACTTTTACGCGATACTTTTGGATTCAGTAGTGAAGGTGACCACTCTAATATACCTTTTCCAGAATGATGGCAAGTAGGAAAGAAAAGGAAAGTAAATTGAAATTTGTAAACATGTACATAGAACAATGAGTAAAATGTAAATAGGGGTTGATATTGTGACTTTATACACCTAGCCCAGGCCTACCGTGGTATTCACGCTGTCTTCCACCTCACCACCCCCCTTCTGTTTGCTCTCAGCCGCCTTAGACTTCAGGCAGTGCAGTCGGAGCCAGCTGTTTGTGTTGGTATCTGCACGCTTACTAGGTTTACATATCTGTGCTTTCATTCTTGGACTTTCTCCATTTAGACCTGGTAGTACAGAAGGTGCTAAAGAGAGCCTCTGGGACCTGTCCACACCTAAACATGACTCCTTGGTTTCCTCTGACACTTAGTCACCTACCTTGGCCGGCGTTTCAGCAAACTTACTTGGCCTGGTGATGTGTGGAAATAGCATGGGTAGCTGTGAGGTGCAGAGTCCAGAAAGTCGTTATTCTGAGGGCTAAGGTTTGAAACCTTGTAAAGCTTACCTCTAAAGACCATTTTGCAAGCTATTTACCGGGTGGAATCTTGGGATATGTCATGAATTCCACTGTCATCCTTTGGGATTGCAGACCTACTCTGATTCAGGAAGAACGGAATTATTTTTAATACAAAGGAAGAGTTTGTGGAGATGTAAGGAGAGTCACCCTCACCGGGTCTTTCATAGGGACTGCCTATGGTTCTAGCTGGGGAAGCTCTGTTGCTCTCCGTGTGATGCTGCAGTTGACCAGGGTTCATGGGCTTCTTACAGTCATCCTAAAGACTCCAGGATCCGTCCACCGCTGCAGAGCACTCACGCAGACTGTTAATGCATTCAGTTATTATTGGGTCGGTATGCGTATATTCATGTGTCTGTATGTATGCGCTTATGTATGTGTCTGTGAATATGGAGACCATATGTTGACACTGCTGTCTTCCTCAGTTGCTTTCACGTTGTTTCTTTGAGACAAGGTCCCTTACTGAGGCTGGGGCTTAGGGATTTAGTTAGAATAGCTTGCCAGCAAGTTCCAGGAATCTCCTCTCTCAGAGATTGTACATGTGAGGTATCTCTAACTCTTTACAGCGATGTTGTGGGTCTGAACTTGGGTCCTGATGATTATGTTGTTAGCACTGTACCGACTGAGCTCTCTCCCCAGGCCCTGACACAGACTATTTCATAACCATTCCTCCCTGTCTGTCTCTTTATCTAATGATGCCTCTTTCCCCATCCATTACCGCTTACGTGCCACCGCTTGGCTGCTTCTGTCCTTCAGTGGAAGCAGGTAGCCCAGTTCCAGTCCTCTACCTGCATCCTTGGCCTGTGAAGTCTTTCTCAGAGATGTGGGTGCCCCTCTTTTTACAGTCTTGGAGTAAGAACTATCTCCTGGTCCTTCTGAGGTTTCGAAAGAGATAATG